GCGTATAATACGCATTGCACATAACTGACTGACTGTATCAGTAAATCGTTATTAACTGCAAACAAACAAAAAAACAAAAACAAAAAAAAACCCCTTACAATCAAAAAGTATTTTGTAAATTTAAATAACCTGCAAAGGGGTAACATGCTGTAGAAAACGAATCAATCAAAGAAATCTTACTAATTAACCCATAAAAAGGGAGCAAAATGGATCCATACCTTTCCCAAGGTTAGTGGCGCGTAAGTGAATACAGTGAGTCCCACGTAATCGCGGGCGTTAGGGACCAGAACTGGCCGCAAATAGTTAGAATCCGGGAATACTTGTAACCTCTCACCCCTAAAAGTGCTTATAAGTACATATTTTGATTGCTAAAACTCCATATGCCTTAAACTTTGATCCTAAACACTTTAGAAACATTTCAGACCCTTTTAAAAACATTTTTGAAAAATAGTATTGGTGACCACACACTTAGCATAAATTTTCTTTCATACGTATAATGACCGTTTTTAATTACACATAAATCGATGCAACCGTGGAAAATACTGCATAAAATATGTGTAACAAAGCATAAAATATAAAGTTTAAAACATTTTCTAAAAACAGAACGGTGATGATGTCTCCAGACTTAGCATTAAGCCACTTTTAAGACCCCAGCCGCAGCCCCTAACAAAGAACAAAGCCCAAGCACTACGCATGCTTTTGCGTTTGTTTTTTACAATGAAAATGTACAATTCTGCACATTTTTACCATAAAATAGACTGTTATATGTTTTAAGTCACTTTAATAACAGGAAAATAATACAAGAATATTTTAAATATGTTCTATCGATATAAATACGCGAATCGAGGGAGTTCTCAAGGAATAATTCGTATATATGTTTTTTAGAAAAACACTCGAATATTTGGAGTTTCCTCGAATAACAAGTACATATATTCTAAAGCAAAATCCGCGAATGTGCGAAGCCGCGTATGTTGAAACGCGAATAGGCTGGGGATCATTGTATAACAAACCCAAATGAAGACCGGATCCCGATTCACAATTCTGAGACATTATCCATTACGCCAAACACATATCCAAGCTTACAGCACCTGATATCCCTAAGCGGTCACCCGTCTAGGTACTGACCAGGCTCGACATTGCTGAACTTCGGTGATCGGTGTTTCAACAGGATGTGGCCGTAAGCCTCTATTATAATAGAATGGCTCAAGATCACTCCGGAAGTCTTCTGATCACGAGTGGAATCGATGGCTGTGCAGTAAATGGTGTTTCAACGAGATGTGGTCGTAAGCCTCTATTATAATAGAATGGCTCAAGATCTCTCCGGGGTTGGTCTGACCACGAGTAGAATCGATGGGCATGTGGTAACCGGTGTTTGTCAACGAGATGTAGCCATATACTTCTATTATAATAAAATGGCTCAAGATCTCTCTGGAGGTCTTCTGACCACAAGTGGAATTGATGGCCGTGCGGTAACCGGTGTTTCAACATGACGTGGCCTAATTCGAGAATATTAATAAGAATCTGTCGGCCTTCTTGATATTCTGCAAGTTTCTGCATTTGTCTGCAACAAGCAAGATAATTGTCTCGAACTGTGCATGTTAGCCCATCAGTCGATCGATAGATGGCGTGATGTAAGTTCCAACTAATTCACTCTGTGCATTCCAATTTTTAAATCCGTTTATCTTTGTTAGATAATGTCTTTCTGCGTCTATCCTCGATATTTGTGGCTTTTTTTTTTTTACTCATCTAATTAATTCGCTTCTTCTCTGTCTTACCCAATCTGATCCTATCTGTTACAAATTGAACCGCTCTCACTCTTTCTCCTTACGTATATATTGACAAGAGGAAAACATTTTATGCCGAGGCGTTTCGTTCCTTTAGAAATTAAATCAAGGCAAATGGAAAAATTTTATCTAGGATCCTGCATTTATGGACATAAAAAAAAGTAACGCTGAGAAAAAATAACGTTATGCCCCAAACAATGGATAAAACAATACCCTGTTAAAAAAAAGAGGTGTGTGAACCGGGCGATAGGCGAACCAATCCTATCGAGGAGGAAAAAAATAATTAAATAATTAGTAAATAAATTTCAGAGATAAGGCGGAGACGTCAGAAGAGAGTTTGAATTGGAGATCGGTCTAAAATATTAAAAAATGTCTCAGCTTTAAGGAAAGAAAAGGAAAACTATGGATGACGGTAAGTGACCTAAATTTTTGCTATGTTGTGAAATGGAAGAGAATTATTGTTGGTGTTGTTGTTATTGATTTTCTTCTCTTTTTTTTGCCATTTTCCTTTTCTTTTACCGCCGAGAGATTTTCAGATATTTCAGAGCGATCTCTCATACACATTTGTACGTATAAGATTATTTTTTTTTCTCGGTGTTCCTTTTCCTGTGTGCATAAATAAAGGAACCTAAATAAAATTTCTACATTTGATAAAATTCTCCTCGGAACGAAACGTGTCGGTATAAAAGGTTTTGCTCTCGACATTTCTTTTATTGTCTTTGCAGAACAGGGAGGAGTGAGAATCATCCGGTTCACACACCCTCCCAGTCTTTCAGGCGTAGAGGTTTATCCTCTGTTTCTTGTTTAAGATTGAGTTTCTAGTTCCTTCTGAAGTTTTTATTTTTCATCCTCGTTCACTCCCAGTAGCCCTTTGCGTCTTAGTAGCATTATCGCCTTACTAGGGGTGAATTAATTAATACAAATAAAAGGATACCTACATTTATATCTGAATTTACATATATATATATATATATATATAAGCCGAGTTCGAATTCCAGTCGAATCTGTTACTTACGTGCCGATACCATTGGGAAAGGTATTAATCCTCTTCTTCACCCTCCAGCTATGGGTAAAGAGCAGGACAGAGTGGGTTCTATAGCCTTGGATGGCAACTGGTGTAAGAGAAGGACAACTCTGAATTCAAAACCTGCGGAGGGTCGTTTGGGAACTTTGTGGCACGTAGTGCACCAGGTCTCTGTATTCAGCCCTTCAAAAAGTGTGGATGGTCCTGCACAAAGCCTTCAACACTATAATCAAATCATATGTGCTGGTGTTTGGCTGTCAATTCCTAGGAACTAATCTGCTTGACCCTCATACGTCGAATACGACGGGAGGGTCAAATATATATATATATATATATATATATATATATATATATATATATATATTGGGGAAGTTGTGTGACAAAGTGTAAAAATTTTACCTGTGGCGCGTTTCGTCCTGAAGGAAATCATCGGTTAGTAGAACTACACATGCCAAAACGTCTCTGCTATACTCATGTGTTGTTCTACCAACATAACAAATTCAGCCAGATGAAGTCCTGACGGACGAAATGCATCACAAGTAAACTTTTTTCCAACTTGTCATACAATTTACTTTTCTTGATATATATATATATATATATATATATATATATCGCTATCTCATATATACCGGGTGTAACAGCAAAATTGTCCAAAAACGTGTAACAGCAAAATTGTCCAATTGTTAGGTTAAGCTCTGAACCGTTGTATCTTAGAAATGATTAAAGATATCTTACTGGAATTCTTGAGCGAGAGACCAGCAAAACTTCATGTAACACCAAAGATGAAATGAAGGCAAGGATTATAGCAACATTCAACAATTTAAGCAAGGAGACCGTCCAGAATAGAAGCAGGCGATTCCGAAGTCACCTGAATGCCTTGGTTGAAGCCAATGGCGATTTTATCGGATAAATGTATTCTTTAGTATATCAAGATGTTTTTGTGCAATTTTGGTAAATATAGCCGTTAAAATGAGAAGTCAGTGTTATTTTCATTTTTGCATACTTTAGACAATTTATCCATCCAATATATATATATATATATATATATATATATATATATATATATATATATATATATATATATATATATATATACATATATATTTTGGCGGCATTTTCATTAAGAAATGTCTTATTGAATATTTAAACAAGTTTTGTCTACCTATTTTATTACAGTAGATAGTTTAAAATATCTAGGTTTTAACTAATAGTTTTTTCTTTGAAAAACTCACATGGACATTTCAAAACTTAGTTTCCACCCCTGCCGTTTACAACATGAAATTTAAATCGTATGGTACATAACCTTAGCGTTTTTTCACTTCACAGTTAAAAAAAAATAGCTTCCAGATGAACACAACAATATTGCTTTAGAAAAAACAGCACCCTAATGATGACAATTTACTAATGTCGAAAGTACTCGGAATAAATGAGTATGTATCAACATAGTAATTTTCTATCTTCCTTTAATAAGGATACTAAAAAGTGCCATGTGCAAGGTCTCATGGCACTTTTTAGGCGTTGGTTAGATCCAATGACAGGACCCAAGGAGCGTGAGAGGGGAATTAACAGGAGATAACTGATAACCGACATCCATTAAATGTGGCAACTAACTAGAACAGTCTACCTCAGTGAGCGAAATAAAGGGTTCAGTTCGATATTCCAACCACCTGAAGAAGGCCGGAGCGTACAACGGCCGAAACGTTGTAATATGGCGACAAAGATGAGGACAATAGTCCGAATAATGTAAATAATGTACATAATACTTCATCTCAGAAATATAGACAGATACTAAAAAGTTTATCCGTGAATATGAGAGGATCCTATTGAAACTAAGTAGACAAAACTTGTTTAAATTATTCAATCTTTATATATATATATATATATATATATATATATATATATATATATATATATATATATATATATATATATATATATATGGTTATACGTTATTTTTATACATACAATTATTTAAGTAAATGCTTTGTTTATAATAAACAACATTAATAATATTTACCGGCCTGAATGTCCGCGAAATCTCATAGAAAGTATATGTCCTCCGGCAGGAATCGAACCTGTGTCCTATATGGAACCATTATATATCATGACTATTCTCTGACTGCATTCCCTATGGACATTATTGAGCAGGAAAAAAAGACCCCAAGTGTTTATCTCTTCAAACCGTCGTTTTACAGCCATATTACTTTGGAACACCGGTTCCGGTACGATCACCAAAGTTAAGCAACTCCGAACATATTTATTACCTAGATGGGTGACTGCTTGAAAATATCAGGTGCTGTAAGCTCGGGTGTGCAGGTGGTGTATTCGATAACGGCTCGGAATTGCAAATCGGAGAGCCGAGTTCCAATTCCGGTCAGGTCATTATATTCACTTACGCACAAATAATCTCAGGAAAGTTATGACGCCATCTCTTCTCCACCCCCACCTCCAGCTATGAATTAATTTGCAGCAATGGGCAAATAGTTAACCCCCAAACTGGGGTCAAAGCACTATGAAAGTGCAAAAGTAGATTTTTATGCTATAATTACCAGCAACACGTTTTTGGAAAAAAAAACTGTTACCATAAATACATTTGGCTATCGACAAAAAAGTCTATTTACAAAAATACTTTAATGAAACCTGATTTATAAACTGATTTCTTACAAAGAATACATATTCTATTCATAAATAACCTATTCTATAAATCTTGTCGGCATTAAATAACCCATTCAGATTTCCATATGCCATAAAACAAAATAAACCAAAACAAACCAAACTACGAAATTTTCTCGTTTTATAATACTTTTTTTAGCTTTTGAAAGGCATCTTTCTTTATTCATTGTGCGTTGGTCTCTTTCTTTTGTTGAACAACACTCATTCTCTCTTCTTACAATTAATAGTCTTTTGTTTCTGTTTTATTTTACTACCTTATCTAAGAGTTCATGGGGTTTTCTTTCTGCATTTGCCATCAACACGGTGTATTCTGCTAACCATATACTATTAAAAATTGTTCCCACCAATAATAAATCCGAACCGAACTTTTAATTCTCTTTGGATTGTACCGTTGTATAGGTTAAATCAGGAGTTCCCAACCTTTTTGGCGTCATCGCCCACATTCAAATGGAAAAAAATTCCACTGCTCACCTGTATAATAAGTATTCAAAAGCATACCGAAATTGTTTGGTAAAAGTTTGTTACTGGTTCGTAATTATCAGCAATATATTTTTGAAAAAAAATATTAAAAACATTACATTTTTGAAAACAAAATATTACGAGCAATACATATGACTCTCGACAAAATGAAACCTGATCTACAAACCGATTTCTTACAAAGAATACATATTCTATTCATACAAACCTAACCTAAAGATCTTGTCGGCATTAAACAATCCATTGAGGTTGATATGCCGTAAAACAAAATAAACCAAACCAAACCAAACCAACACTTCGTAGATAGTTATTTTTCTACACTTGCTTGATTTTTACATTTTCAATTTGTAGCTTGTGCGTTGGTCTGTTAAATCAAGAGTTCCCACCCTTGGAATTAAGAAAATTGTGGAGAGCCATGATCGTCCAAGTAGTGAAGGGACATGGCACATAGAAGAAGATATGGTCAACACGTTTGTCCGACATAAAAACCTATCGAGTATTTATGGTATGTTGTTGATCACAAGACAAATATCAGTGCGCTGTTGATAGCTATTGAAGCAAAATGACTCAACGTCTCTCCAGAGGTCTTCTGACCACTAGAGGAATCGATGCCATGTTAAGTCTAAAGCGGTTCCAAAATAACACTAAGCCACTAGCAAATAACTTTTAGCACGTCAGTATATATATATATATATATATATATATATATATATATATATATATATATATATATATACATTTTTAGTTTCATGAGCGTTTACAGTAAAGTGGTGGGGAGAGCATGTACGATAAAGCTGCCATTTCATTTGGCATTTACAACCTGTAAGGAAAACCAACAAAATGTGGCAATATTGTAAATTACTGTTGGAGGCGGAGCACTCTGGGTTAGGGGTAATGATGTTTTGGGTGGGAAATCTTGCTTGACCGCAGAGACATCATTTTATGAAGGCTTTGTAACGGCACAGCTGTTGTTTATGTAGCAAAAAGTCTATGATATCATATAACGCATTATTTCATCATTCATATATATATATATATATATATATATATATATATATATATATATATATAAATAATATATTATGAAATGGATTAGTCCACCAATTATTTTAATATATTTATTGTTTATACGTTATTTTTATAGATAGAAATATCTAAGTAAATGCTCTGGATATAATAAACAGGATTAACAACATTAATGCCAGTAAATGTTGTTAATATTTTTATTATAAACAGACCATTTACTTAAATATTTATATCTATAAAAATAACGTATAAACATATATATATATATATATATATATATATATATATATATATATATGTGTGTGTATATAATATGTGTGTGTGTGTGTAAAAATATATAGAAAATAGGAAAAAAGCTTAGTACTTTAATTCAATTTAATTCAAATAATTATATTGAAGTTTTCGGCTCTTGTATTAAAACATGTGAACTCTTATGTAGCGTTGGAATCATATTTTTAAGTAAATAATTATATATATATATATATATATATATATATATATGATGTAAATCTATTTATACTCGGTGGATAGTAAATCTATTTATACTCGGTGGATAGCGCAATTTTCAAATAAATTAGCCACAGAGGAAAAATGTAAAAAACGAAAGCACCATAAACCTCCGAACAGGACGAAAGAAACCGTCCAGTACCTTTAAATCTCTGATGCAAAGGAAAAAAAAAACAGCGAATAATAAATAAAAACGAAGAGGGCTCAATACACTTAGTAGAACAAAAGTAAAATAAATAAATCCTAATGAGCCAGATACTACCTACCTAGGTTTCACCACATGGGATCATCAGGGTGAATATGTTATATAATATTTTTATTATTATGATAAGTATTATGAAATGATGGTTATATGATGGTTAGGATGATGCTGCGTAAAGAGACACCATTTTAACCCCTCTCTATGTGAGCTTCATTTGACACATTGTTGTAACTCTGTTTTAAATTTAACCTTCCTATCTCTTTATCGTCCCTTAACCATTTTATTAACGCTTTTTTTTCTGTTTTTTCTTCATAATGTTAGCCCCAAAGAAAACTTTTCTCGTTCAATTTATTTTGGCTTTTGTTTCATCACGAATTTTTTTTTTATTTTCTATTTTTCTACTTCTTATTTTTTTTTTTTTTTATCTTTTTATATCTGTCTGTCTAGGATATATTGATTCCTTTCCATTTCATAAAATGTAGTGGGTCTGATGAGATGAATATACTTTTATTCATCGAAATAAATTTATTACTGACAATGGATTTTTAAGTTTTTCCTAATTATATATATATATATATATATATATATAGAGAGAGAGAGAGAGTCCACCAGAAAAAAAATGTATGCACACTCCAAGAAAAGAAAAACTTGTCTGTTGTAGTTTTATCAAATTGCGATAACACTGTTTACTTTTGTACGATGTTTTCTCGACAGATGACATTACCCTCATGGCTGTAGCATCAACAAATCCTAAAGGCTTTTGTGTATCGCAGGAAACCGGCTACATAGGCGGTCCTTAGACAAGAAATTGAAAATGTATGTGAAGCATTCCCACTGGACACTTTGGCCAACATTGCCCAACCAGTAGTTCATGGTTCTAATAAATGTCTGCAAGCTACAGGTCATCATTTTGAGCATTTATTGTGATTGTATAGTCCAAAGGTAACTTGTATTAATATCGTGATGTTTGAATAAATTTAGTATTACAATACCTATACAAGTTTTTTCTTCCTGAAGTGTCTAAACATTTTTGGGTGGAGTCTATACACACACACATGTATGTATATATATATATATATATATATATATATATATATATATATATATAGAGAGAGAGAGAGAGAGAGAGAGAGAGAGAGAGAGAGAGAAGAGAGAGAGAGATAAATTGAGCCAAAAACATACTCACATATAATCTAATTTATAACATGTGTTTATATATATATTTTCAAGGCTTGGTTCCAAACACATTAATTAGATAGCGCCAACTTATTAATTATTTTTTTTATTTCTACCATTATATTATATTTCCATCCCTTGTGTTATTTTTGCTATTTGATATTACTATTATATTTTTGTCAGAAATGTGACTTATCCTCCTTGTTATTTTGTTTACTTTTGAGCCCTAATTTAAATTCAAATAATTAGTTGTTTTTTTTTTAAATTTCTTTAATTTTTTATTTCTCCTCTTTTCGAACTTATGAATTTAAATGATATAAATTAATGTTAATATTATTAGTTAATTCTAATATTTTAGGCGGCAATAATTAAAGAAACAAGTTTCAACACAAAATTTTCAATCATCACCATGAGAAAGCAAATTAACGGTCAGATTTTATTTGCATCTGAAGATTGCAGCAACTGCATGAAACTCGGTGTCATATCAACGTAGGATATTATATATATTCACTACACACAGACACACAGAGACGCACACAGACACACTCAGACGCGCACACACACACACAGAGATACACAGAGACACACACGGACACACATACACACACACACACACATATATATATGATTAAAAACAAAAGAAAAAGTAGCTTTATAGCGAATTCTCTCTCTCTCTTTCTATATGTGTGTGTATATATATATATATATAGAGAGAGAGAGAGAGGGAGAGAGAGAGAGGAGGAGGAGGAGGACTGAAATTCAAAATAAACTTAAAACAATGCTCCGAGACAGACACTCTGGAGCTGATGATAGCCGTGTAGAGAACGGTTTGAAATAGACTATACCATCTTGGGGTAATTTTTGATTTTTGTTTTTTTTTTCTGTAAAAAATACATATGTTCTGTTATAATAAATATATCGAGCTCTCTGTGAATCAGTTTTAATAATTAATATTGCTAAGATCCACCCGGAGCGATTACCTTTACTATACACACACACACACACACACACATATATATATATATATATATATATATATATATATATATATATATATATATATATATGAGAAAAAGAAAAGGAAAACTTGTCATAGGCAACGTATTTCGTCTTCTGATGGATTTTATCAAGGCAAATGTAATGATTTTATTTTGCAACAAGTATTTATGAACAAAAGTATAGATGGTATTATCACAGCACTGGCTGCATACAATGGCTACGGAGCCCAGTCGACCCCATTGT